TGTGTGTGTGTGTGTGTGTGTGTGTGTGCTTCCAGCTTCCCGCTCCTACTCTTTACTAAAGCCGATTACTAGTGAAAATGCCAGACAAAGCGTGAATAAAAGTTTCCTCGTGGAAGAGCTTTTTTTTTCTGTCTCTCTTGTCTTACAGCAAAAGATCAGATGGTTTCGTATCCAAACCACAGTCGTAAATCTTGGTCCCGCTTTATACCCGCAAACATCTGTTAAACCAGCTGTCCGGGGTGGAGCTCACTCATTAGGCTCATATCTGAAAACAGAGAGCAAAATCTGAAATTAGTCAAACATGAACAAGAGAAGGAAAATCTCACAATTAGCTTATTAGTATTATATATTATGACTACACTGGGATGCCGTATGATTTTATTTTCAAGGGTGTTGATTCACTTTTACCTACTAGATTTGGATAATTTCACAATCATAGACTCACCTCTGCAATCGTTTCCTAATCTCTTTGATCTGCTCGTTCTTCTTGGTTAGGATCTCCTTCATGTTGCGGTAGGCCGCAGTTTGCTGGAACTTCTTGTCCAGCTCCTGTGCGCAACACACACACACACATTCAAACGTGAGAAAAACAGCACAGATTGCTCAGTGCACCTGACCAACTGTCCCAATGGCATCAGGCGGCGAGTACAACATTCAATTGCATGACCTTTTGCTTAGAAACTCATGACAGGAAAGTGAACATGAAAAAACGTTTGCTTCCGCAGTGCCACTTGCTGATGAAGAGCAAGGAGAGATTCGTAAACAGCAAGAAAGGCCGTCATGTTCGCAGACTTCATGACACCCTCATTGTCTCACAACTTCAATAATAACTGGGTAGAACAGCAACAACAACACTTGGCATTTTGTGGGTGTTAACTATATGTTTGCTCGTTACTTTCAATTCCTGGAAGAGACCAAAGTTGCTCACTTTCTCTGCCAAGGCCAGCTGCTCTTGCACTCGCAGAAGCTCATGTTTGGAAGAGATCAGGTTGTCCTGCAAATCTTTCTGGGTTGCCACGTTGGCGCTGAGAGACCTTTCGTAGTCCTCTCTCAGAGCTGCCACTGTGTCCTCTAGACTGTTGATTTCCTTGGATTGAGCAGCCACCTTAAAAGGGAACGGCAACACCGTTACCTCACCTTTTTTGAATGAGTTATGACATCAAGACAAAAAAATCTATTTCTAACGACGACAAAATACACACTTTGACCATGTGGATACATACCATTTAGGTCCAAGTTGGCAGATAAAAGCAAATGGCAGAAAACATTTATATGAAAACGAAAAACTGTAAAGTTAAACAAACGAAAGTAGCGAAATGGAACGCAAAGCGAGACCCAAAAAAAAAGAAAAAGTGAGAAGATGACACTTGCTGACTGTAAGCCACATTTGGAAACGTACCTGCTGTTCACCTTGCACTCTCTGAAGGTCTTTCAGAGCTCTCTCTGCCCTGGATTTCTCATCTAGTGCACTCATGGCCTAAACAATCAAGCAGGAAGAGAATTAACAACACAACTATCGCTATCAAGCACGAGTAAGATAGCACATTGTTTAAAATGTCATTTGTGTACCTGGGATTCTAAAGTCCGGAGCCTCGCTCTCAGTTTGTCATTTTCCTGTTGTAGTCTCACTATCTCCTGAAGAAGTATTGAAGATACAGTAGCTGTGGTTTACTATGTAAACATACGGACAATCCAACATCCCAGTGAATCTATGGAAGCAATCCATATAATGTACCACATTTCTTTACCTTGTTGAGAAGTTCAGACACTCCACTTTCATTCAGAGGGGCCAACTTGGGTTTGCTTGTTTCTTTGTTTATCTGGGGGATATTTTTAAATAACAAAGATTAGATGGTCAATTGTTCTTTATCTAACTGGTATGTAACTGTAAAAAAACAAAAAAAAAAATCAACACCATTTAGGCAAGTCTTTCACTTTCCCATAAATGTGATGAAGATAAGTGTCATGAAAGAGTCATGAAAGAGCAGTGAATTTGTTTGTCATAAAACGGTATGTGATAAAACCACTTGTCAACCTCAGTGATGTGTGAGTAAGTAACCACCAGGCTACTATAGACAGGTACAGAAAACTATTTAAAATGCACAGAAGCAGCTGCACGCCTCTCTAGTTGCTAACTGTGGGTACAAATACGCTAGGGACACATGATCAATGACGAATATCTCAATATCTCAGCGGTAACGTTTGAAGCTCTCACACGTGACAAAACTGCATCTTATTGCTCACCTTATCGGTGGTTTTAAAGTCAGTCTTCTCAAATTCAGCCACTTGCTCCAACAGCTCCCTGTACGGGTCAGACGATAACAAAGCATTAGACGATAGAAGTAACATTTATTTATATAGTGCTTTTCACAGACCTAACAGTCACAAAGTGCTGAACAACAGTGAAGACATGATATTAAATAATAAGACCGAAAATGAAAAATATTACATGCAGACAAAAATTATGACAGTTTGTAGGGTTACTGTAAACAGCACTTAGATGCTACACTGGGTGCACTGATATGACAATCTGTGTGATCTCCTCACATCAGCTAACTTGTCACCGCAATGTCGATGTTTATGTTTTTGAACATTACAGCGATCTACCATCTAAATGTTTGGCAGGGAAACTTAACACCCTATCTCTTGGTGGCAGTTTAGCACTCATGTTTTAAGATGCACGCTTGTGGTAAGCAGATCAGGCTTCTGAAAAGCTGTAATGTGGTTTTAAATAGCAGATGAAGACACGTAGCCTGTGATATGGGGCGTATTCCTAGCTTTAGACACCGTGTAAGTCACGTACAGCTGAGCCCTGTGAAAAAAAGGCTTTGGAGGTTATTCATCCACCCACCGCGCGCATATTACAAAACTACTTTTCCAAAGAACACACACAGTGTGTTAACAAGGTGAAAGGTGAGAAGAGGTCACATTCATTTATGAAGTTCATCAGAGTGTCACAGAAAACAGGCGGTGCGTTTATACTTGTGTATGAGCCATGGGGCGCTGCACTGAGCAACCTGGACCCCGGGTCTCGGTCATTAGGTCATCGTAAGTAGGACATTTGGACAGCAAGCTGATGTTATCTGACTGAGATGAAGAAAAAAAGTTGCTTTCATATCCTCACTCGTGACAAAAAGGACCGGTCGACGTGCGGTTTAGGCTTAAGCGTGACCATGAAATTTGAATTTTAAATCAAAAGCTTGCTCATTTCAGAAGTGAAGCCTACAACCTGTGGCACTGTCAGTTTTTGCTATCTGAACTTTTTTGTTTGTTTGTTTGTTTGTTTTTTATTTTTTGGAGAGGGATGGAGTGAGGGATGATGGGTGAGGGTTGGGGCCTCTACGGAGGCCCGCAAGGGACATTGGACAAAAAAAAAAAATGAAGATGAACTTTTGCAAGATTCGCAAAAGGTTTTTTGCGAGATCCCGAGTTACATTTGTGGTATCTCACAAAAGTAACTCGGGATCTCCCTCGGCAGTAGACATGAAAGAGGATTTAGAGCGTTTCCTGCGGTCAAGAGAGGTCCCACAAGAGGACATCATGCACATGCAACAAGACAAAAGTTACGGAGCCCCGCAAGGGACACTGGAGAAAAAAAAATGAAGATGAACTTTTGCGAGGTCTCGTAAAAGTTCATCCTTATTTTCTTTTTCTCCAGCGTCCCTTGCGGGGCTCTGTACCATTGTGCACCCTTCATATACCCAATACTGTTGCTCTGAGATATAGGCATACTTGAGCCAGAAAGCCCTGATACCTTTGTGCCAAAGAGTGCAATATTCTGACTACAGTTCACATGTGATGTAGCTTTGTTTCTGGTATCACATGTGCACGCCCTCATTTCTCCATGTTTGGGCTTGTAATATGAAAAAAAAAACATTCTCTGAAGAACATCTGGCACACTTGTTAAAGAAGAACACAAGAATTATCTTTCAGATTTAATTAATACATATGTTATTGTAAGCAAATGGCTTTGTGCCACTTGCTAATGATTATTACTGTCAATAAATATTAGCGTTGTAATTTTTGTGAAATTAAAGTGGCAGACTTAAGTAATTCACCAAATCTTTTGCAAATAGTTTCACAGTTTAAAAGAAAACCCTACAAATATATCTGTATTTGTTTCTGATACTAAACATATCCAGAAATAGCCTTGGAAAAATGTTCAAATGTTAAAAGGCGTAACGGTCTCCTCTGCAAATTATAAAAAAAAGGTCATGCACTTTTCTGAGGTTGTACGTTTCCATTATGCTTTTTAATATTACTTTTAATGCTAAGGCTTATCTAAATTCACAGCTCAGTTTACCCACACTGCATAGTGTTGTGGTGCATGTTGTGGTTTTCAGGCTAACTGAACATCCCTGCAAAAAAAAAAAAAAAAACAAACAAAAAAGTGAGAAACAAGCGTAATGGAAAAAAAAAGGGTTAAACTGACAGCGAGGGCTGGCAGTGACCTTTTTACCTGGCATGTAACATGTACACGATCTGAATCTGAGCAGCACTGCAGAGGAAGTGGTCTATGATACAGTGTGGTGGAACCTTTCTCTTTAACATGAAGCTTACTTTTTACATTGCTGTGACATGACCCCTATCACATCATTTAACTACCTCCTGTCTATGTAAAAAGGCCAAACTGCTGAGAGGCTGGTTCAGATAAGCCCACCATTCAGCACACAATGATAAATAATCCCACAATAAACATAATAAAAATGTAGACATTAAAAAGGTCACAAAGACTATTCTTCCTTTTTTTTTTAAAGGCATCTTTTTTAGGCATCTTTCCATTGATGCCATGATCAGGAAGGTTGGCACTGTGAACTACTCTGCTGCCCCCACAGTTAGTGTATGAGAGGAGGGTGTTGAACAAAGACCTCAGAATAATGAATAACATTTCACATCCCCTGCACAACCTAGTGGTCAGACAGAAGAGTGCTTTCAAGTAAAAGGCTCTTTCAGCTTCAGTGTAACAAATTTTGGCCCACTGTTCTTTGCAGAATTACTTTAGTTCATAAAAACTGGAGAGTTTAACAGCATGGATGACGTGTTTAAAGTCATGCACAAGCATTTCAGTTTGATTTAAGTCCAAACGCTGACTTGGCCAATCCAAGTCAGGGTGTTTGGGATCACTGTCCTGTCATATAACTTAAATGTGCTTAAGATTCAGGGCATGAACTGATGGCCAGATATTCTTCTTGAGGATTTTCTGGTAGACAACAGAATTCCATCAATTACAGCAAGTCATGCAGGTCCTGAAGCAGCAAAGCAGCTCCAGACCACCACCACTAACATTTTTGACTGTTTGCACAGGTATGATGTTCTTTTTATGAAATGCTGTGTTACTTTTAAGCCACGCATAACGGCACTCAAACCTTCCAAAAAGTTCCGTTTTTGTCTAATCAGTCCACAGAATGTTGTCATAAATCATCGAGATGTTTTTGGTAAATGTAAGACAAGCCTTTCTTTTTTTTGTTTTGTTTTGTTTTGTTTTGTTTTGTTTTGTTTTTTTTGGGGGGGGGGGGGGGGGGGGGGCAGCAGTGGTTTTCACCTCAGTCTCTTTCTTAACATTAAGTCATGATAAACGTATCTTTACTGAGGCAAGTAAGGCCTGCAGTACATTTTGTAATTATTCAGGTTATCTTTGTCTAGTATTACAATTTGTTTGATGATCTGAAACATATAAGTGTGAACAGAAAAAAAAAAAGAAATCAGGAAGGGGGCAAATATTTTCTCACATCACTGTATGTCCATTTGTCTATATATATCTGATAAGCAATTTCTAGATAGACCACCTGTTTTCCAGCTCCGAGATATCACTCTGTAGTCGTAGGTAAAACTTTTCAGCCTGGGAGAAAAGCTGCCTAAGCAGCAGCACATTGGTGTGGGCTGTGTTGATGAGCTCCATCTCCACCTCCCCACGCACCACCGCCTGCAGCTCGTCCAGCATCTCCTTCACCTCGTCCACTGTGAAGGTTTCCTCCACCAGCCTTCACAAAAATGCACGTAAATTGGAAATGTTTCAGGTACATCTGAACCGAAAAGCACTTCATTTTTCCTGCATATCTACTTTACATAGACAACTGGGCGGAAGTAACGTGAGAAAAGAGAAGAAATGACCAGTCACCTGCTATCTTTGAGCTCCTCGAAGCATGAGTCGATAGTTTTGAGCCTTAGAACTCTCTTTGAACGTGCAAATCGCATATAATTGATGATTTCATTCTGATGGTGTTCATTAAATCCAAATTCAGCCTACACGAAGATAAGAGAAATTTGATTTTAAGCAAAGATCGGCACACAGAATAAAAAATGAACACAAATAAGGTGTACATAAACAAGCAGATAATTAGCTAACTTGAAGAGGATTTTCTCTTGCTAATATGGAGCAGGGCCTTTTCACATGGGCTTGCACATCCAGCGTACTATTTATGTATATAAAGGGTTGCTCGCTAACATTAGCGGTTCACTCGTCTTTTGATTCAGCTTTAGAGCACAGTGCTAGGCGTTTAGCATGCTAAACTCCTAAAAGCGAACAGGTGGCCTGTACAGCAAATCATTTCAGCTACTTACCATGATGGCTGTGCAGCTAACGTTAACGTAACTAAGTTAGCTAGCTTGAAGACTGAGCTGCTCCAAAAGAGGAAAAAAATGGGTTTTTCTGGCTATAATTTAGATCATTCAGTGAGCAGACTGAAAACCAGCGGTGAAATGCTGGAATCGAGAGTTCTTGAAAATCTCTTATAATTACATTCGACGAGGCTAAACAAAGGTTATATGACAGCTATAAGACTATCAAGCAGATTTGCTAGCCTCCTAGCAGCTAGTGTTTGCATTGAGAATGTCTTGGTAACGGAAAAGAGCGTCATCACCTTGGTTACCAGAGGTGCATTCAATGGCGCTACGTAAAGATTTGAAACAATAAGTGAATCCCAAATCAACATTAACTGCCTCATCTTAACATTTCATATACACACGTGTGTGATATTCACTATAAGATGTTTTTTTTTAACTGGTTGTAATTTAAGGGTAGTTGTTTTAATCTTGTTGTTGTTCTACGTTAATTCGATCTCAACATAGAACACGCTATCTGCCTTTAACTGCCTCAAAAGTAGTCGGTAATCAAGTCATTCAGTTGTCTGCTTCGCAATTCAGTGTTTTGCCAAGATTCATCCCAGTCAAAATGTCAGCCCCACTAAAGAACTAGCCCATTTGTGAAAGCCTATAAACACATGAGAAGCAGAGTTTTGGTGTGTGTTCCATATACATATACACCCAGTATACATTCAATTAATGCATGTATACTGTGTTTTAATGTCTTTCTTGGACACACATACACATAATGCAGCTCTTATTTTTGGTGCTCCTGAATCTAGAGCAGTATTTAGATATCAAACATCTCCCGATCAGGATGATTTTCTAAACGGATGACTATTGACGATCAGATGACTATTCAGTTTCACCATTTTTTTTGGCATCCACATTTCTACCCTTGCTAGTTGCAGATGGGTTTGCACTGAATGTGACTGATGGTCAGTCATAAACTCATTATAAGACTGAATTGACAGTGCTACTGTAGCACACCTGATTGAGCACCGGTGTACTTAGAGTCCTCACTGCAGGGGTCTGAATCTGATCCAGGCCATTCCCTGTGTCATTCCCCTTCACGCTCTCCCTGCCTTGCTGTCTATTGTCTGCACTGTCCTATAAAGGGGAGAGAATGGATTTATGTTCTGACAACTCTCCCCCTTCATCTTTCAAATCTTCTCTCTCATTGAGATTCTCTGAGTAGATAGTATATTCACCATCTTGCTATTTGTTGTGTCTCATCACTGATTTGCAGCTGTGAGAAAATATAGGGTGATTCCCAGAAAACAGAGGATAAAATGTGTGGGACTGTGGGAACAGACAGATGTATGTCATAGAAATGTTGCAATAGTGAAGCCTTATGCGGGAAAAATAGGAACAGAATCACATTACTCCCCCCCACCCCACCCCCACACACCCCACGCACACATACCACACACACACACACAGAATAAAAGCAGACCATGTAAGAGGAGGACAGTGTGAAGAGACACAGCACCTTCACACTTTTATGAGCCAAACACTACATATGTAGTGTAAAAATCTTTGGAGGCGTTGCACTGAGAACTGAAAATGTTTTACTAACAGAAAATTAGTCAGGAAAGCAAGTAAGAGTTTGAAATACTAATTAATCATTTCAATCATTACATGCAATTTGTTTTATCCTCTCATTTACTCTCAACTTTATTTTTCTGTCTCTTGTCTTGTGATTGCAAAAAGCCTAAATCGTCTTCTCCTGTTTTTTTTCCTTTAGGGATCACCACACCGCATTACCTGCCTCCATCTCCACTTATCCCTAGCACACACCCATTAATCCTCTATGTGGACTTCCCGGCAGCTCCATCTTCAACATCCTTTCCCTAGTATATCCACAATCCCTCCTCTGCACATGCCCTATACCATCTGAGCCTTTCTTCTCTAACTTTGTCTCCAAAGCACTCAACCTGACCTGTCCCTGTGATGTACTCATTTTGCCCAATGAAAATCTTAGCATCTTCAATTCTGTCACCTCCAGTTTGGCCTCCTGCCTTTATATCCAAATCACACATAATATCAGGTCTCACTACCAAAGTATTTATTATGCAGCAAGTACCTGCCTGAGCTCATTCATTGCACAGTATACAGCAGTAGGTGGCACCATCTGGCTAGAAAAAAAAGTATGACAGGAGCACAAACCACAAACACAGGAACCCTCTCCAGTCTAACCCAGAGGGTTGTAACAACAAAGCCAAACTCTCAGCTATACATTTTATAAGGACTATAAAGTTCTAAATATCCGATTTTAATATTTTCAGCAACAGATTGCAATGCTTTTAATTTTGCGTTTACTAGACAGTTAGTCTTTTTGTAGTCTTTCAGATTCAGTTGATCGTCTAGTCTGTTTCTCCATCAGTCAAATGCAGTGGACATCATATGAGCCAAATAAAAGCTTCACTGATTGGCACTGTCTTCTCATCCTCAAGAACTTCACCCTCCATTTAAATCCATGGAAAAAGACGGAAATGTTTTTTTTTCTCCCCCTCATGTCTCTCTAGCTCTAATTAAATTAGACTAATGGGCAGCGCATGGTTAGCCACCTAATCAGATGGCTTATAACGTGACTGCTGCTCTGCTCAAGTTTAGTTTGCAACATCTGTCAGTAACAGTCAGTAACAAGGCAAAGATGTTTCCTCTTTACCTGCAGTCGCGGTGAGTCACTTAAAAATTCAGACAGGGGTTGAAAAACAGTAAAGTTACACGCTAACTTTTTTAGAGGCCTTTATGATGGTCCTGTTATACATCTCAGTTGTTTCTTTGTAGGCTGTTCGCAGTTAACATTGTATTCAGGTAGTTTACTTTGATGGGCAGCTGAAATATGAAATATGTGTCAAAAAGAAATGTAATATTATACGAATGTGAGTTATTTCAAGACCAAATGCATGGAAAGTGAATGGAAAGAGAAAAAATGAATATGAATGCAAAAAAAAGTGATGAAATATAATGAGCAATAAAATACATAAAATGATGTAAAAATAACACAGTGCAGTAGGCAGTGTGTAGATTCATGTTAGGATTACTGGGAAACGATGAAAAATACTGTTTTCTACGTGTTTATTTAAAGTTGTTTGAGTGTGCCTGACATATCTGTGTCCTTTATTATGCTCTGGAACTTTTCTGTCAGACACAGATTCAGTCTAGTGTTTTTAAGTGGAGATCCTCATTTAATGTTTCTTCTACTTTAGGAACAGGCTTAACCCATGTGCGGGAAACTGGCTGTATGAATACTATGCCTGAACAAAAGGAATTGCTGCATTGATGGGAAAGTGTCCCTAGGGGGCAGAATAGTTGTATTTATCCCAGGAGTTGCGTTTTATTGAACAGGCTACTGTTCAGAAATATGTTCTTTCCAGCTATTTTCCCTCTCTTTCTGCAAAAAAAAAAAAGTAAGATTAAGAGGTAAATAGTAAAATATAAAGGAATCAGCGAGGTTTAATCTACTGTCCAGTTTACCTAGCATCCCGTCGTCTATCCCTCTATTGTCGTCATACATAACTTTGATGAAAAATAAGCAGACACTTTTAGTCATGAAGGTTATTTGGAGTAATAATTATACAACAGGCTACTTGCAAGTAGAGGAGCTGTACTCCGTTTTCATTCCCTGATCATGCATAATTTGGCAAACTACTTATTCTTATTTATACCTCTTTACTAGAATTTTTGAGATGTATCTTCACTTCTTTACGTGTGTAATCTGTATGTGCTCGACTATTTGGTGAAAAGGAAAATGTAAGTATTATTATGTCTGTGGTCGCATATTCGGTCATTTCTTCTCTAAAAGAAACTAGAGATTTCCAGTAATAAACCCCTTCCGCAGTATATGGCATCGCTGAACTGTTTCGAGGTCAGTTTCGAAGGTATGTACCAATTGAAAAACAGAATGATTCGACGTAATAACCGATCTGGTATCAGGTATCTTCACAATGTTGGTTCCTGACAAACCAATCAGCTGACAGCCGCATGACAGGCATGCCTCACGCTTGCGCAGTAGCACACTTTTGGTATGAGGAATATGGCAGCGTCCTGAGTCCAGTTGGGGGGAATACGGCGTAACTGAGCACCTCCAGCATCACTCTGGGAAAACTGAGACGCACCGGGCACAGTCAGAGGAGGGTGGGGGGCTGAGGGACGGCTACGAATAACACCCGTTAGCGATTTTACAGGTAAACGCGGCCGTTAGCGCCTGCCACTGTCTGCTTCTCCAATGTTTGCTTGATTGAACCCCGTCGCTAATGCGACTAGCTAGTTCGTCCATAAAACCTGAGTGATGTGCTAGTTAGCCGTTAGCTGGTGGCTAACCCAAGCACTGGCCTGCCACAGCCCCTTTTTCTGCATTTGTCAAACAGACGCTGATAACAAAGTATATCGGCTGGTCACTGTAGTTAAGTGGAACAGCAAGTGTCGACGTCGCAAAACTATGCCGCCGTGCTTAGCCTGACAGTGAACCGCGTAGGCCTGCTGAAATGAACCAGTCTGGCTAGCTGCTTGGTAACGTTAATGCTGTTTGTCATGGATTTACTTGACAGATCAGGAGCCAGCGCGCAACCTCCACACAATTTAAGAATTGCTCTTTGCCATTTCAGCCTCTTTCGTGTAACTGTTAGTTTTATATTTCTAGTTAGCTGTTTTTAAAAAAAGAGAAGAAATTATAGTTTTCGAGAAAGTATTTGCATAAAATCATTGCAGATCCACAGAAGATAATGCAAACTTAGTTCCCGTCCCGGTTTAGAGATTGCTTCATATAGTTTGCTAATGTCGGTGTGTGATGCAATATATCTGCAGGGCACAAAAAACCCAAAACAAGTGAAAATAAGATTATCAAGCTCATATTATGTGTTTTGCCGGACCTGGACTAGATGTAAGTTTTTATGTGGTTCTGAAGGTCTGCATCCTTCATGTGTTTCCCTACTCGAGCATTGCGCCTTTTAATTTACTTGAGCTTCACTAATATCATTGCAGAGAAGAGAATTTAAACTAAAGGTATTAAAAAACCTCTTAGAGCCATATAGTGATGTCATAGCACATGATATTTTGACCCTTGCACCCACTCTGATGCTAAAGTTTTTCAGCCATCTGCTTTCCAAAGGAAACAGGTGACCTAGCCTTGTAAACTAAATGGTATTTTTATAGTATGTAGAGTACTGAGAGTTACCTGATCAAATTGTTGTGATGGATACAACCTGTGGCTGCAGTCTATTTGAGTAGTTCTTTGTAAGTA